AGAGAGTGAGAGAGGGCGAGAGTGATAACGCATGAGAGCTTGAACGCTTTTCCCTTGATCTGAGGTTTACACGCTATTACCGTAACGCCTAGTATATGCGCGCACCACAAAACAACGTGGCGGCTAGAATGACCGTATTTTTCAAAGTGGAGGCTGGCCTGACCGCAGTAAACTACAGACATTTTCACTGAAAATAACTAGAGACATTTAACTTTTGTTTCACAAAATAAATTACATGGTCCTTAAGGGGGGGACGTTTTCCCCCACTCTACCTAACTAAAGAGACTATACCTTGACGGAACCAGACTCTTTTTGTAGTAACACTTTTCGGGTTTTGCACTTTGAAGACGATCCCTTCGGACTTGTCTCTCAGCCGCCTGCGCATACAGATCAATGTATTTTGTCCAGTGCAGAGGAAAGCTCGTTTTGAGGAAAATTTGGTTGTAGCTGGTTGTCTACCTCAGTGTTTCCCAACCGGGGTGCCGTGTAAAAAAATTATTTTTTAATATTTTTAAATTGCTAAAATGTTCAAAAAAGCATCTATTATATAATATCCATTTCTGATGTCGCCAATAATTAGAGATGCACCAAAATTTTGGCTGCCGAAAATGAGTTCACCGCTCAGGTTTCACTTTCACGTGGTGTGACGCTCCGCGTATTATTCCGCTCTATGTGTGCGCTCCGCTCAGTCGCTCCACTCGTATACCGTTCATGCTCATCGGAACAGCAAAGTGCACTCAAAAATTGAGCCGACAGGAAACATCGATGTAGTACAGTATTGTTTCTGTCTGCAATAGCCCTACTGTGTTGTAACATGGTGTGGTATATGAGCAACTCTGGTAACGCTGCCCTCTCATTCATTGATCTGCAAACCGCATGTTATGCTCACGTGTTCTGATAATAATAGCTTTCTAGGACTAAACATTATTTGGATAATTGGTAAAAAAACAAAACAAAAAAAAAGAGTTAAATATCTTAACCCTACTGTTAGACCTACCTGAAAAACTAAAAAGCAATTTATTTATTTCGAAGGCCTGTCGTTATTTTTTATTTGTGCTATCATTATTAATTTCTTTATTTGTTCTTATTTTATTACTGACTGCTTACTTGTCATTTTTTATACAATTCAAAGTTTGAAATCAAGCTATCTCGCGCTACTGCACCAAAATTACCCCACTCTAAAATTAAAAAAACTTTAATTTGTGAGATTTGTGAGATAGCTAGTTATAATGGTAATTAAATAATATTTACATATGTATACAAGCCTACATTAGAATCTGTCATATAGTCTCTTCATTAGAAATGAGCTGATTACTGATTGCCACCATTGATGGACAAAATATAAAAAAATATCTGTATGACATTATATTCTGCAGTTCTTCCCTGCTGTACCGAATGTCTATACTTTTCAAATTATCCTATCGAAGTTAGAAATTCAAATATTTTGACAAAATGAATTTTGTAGGGTGCCACAAGTTTGTTAACATTTCCAAAGGGTGCCTCGACTAAAAAAAGGTTGGGAAACACTGGTCTACGTAACTACGTTTGAAAAGAGGTGGTATTTGTGTAGTAATAACTTTAAGCTCACGATTTATTGATCCGGGAAAGTCGAATCTGTGAATATGTTGCCACCTTTACTGTAGGCTACACTCCTCTAACGTTAGTTAAGAAACGGATTAATGTTCTTCTAAAGGCCAGCTCACGCCACACAGACAAACACGAACAAAGTTGGCCTTTGGATTTAGAATTTTATGAAAAATAATAACTGATCATGTTCACATGTTTGTTGGCGTTTGTCTGTGCAGTGTGAATTGGCCTTACAATGTATAGTTTGCTTAGATTCAAGACATAAACTCATGCGGATTTTTAATAACACCCCCAAAAGTGAAGTGCGAAATTTGAGTACTGGGCGGCGCTGCCGAGTCAGCTCAGCTGTCCGGCCCCCGACGCCACGCCGACAGATGTGCAAGATGTCCCCGCGGTTTACATTTTACTTCTGCTTGATTTGGTCTCTGCAAACCCTCAATCCCTTCATCGTATTGATTCGGGCAAATGAATCAAATCAAGATGTTAAAATCGAGGTTACGTTTCTGCCAGAAAACTGCAGCCAGAAAGCCAAGAGAGGAGACATGCTGAATGCTCATTATGATGGATATCTAGTTAAAGATGGATCTCAGTTCTACTGCAGGTAAACGCATTTTTTTTTTACAAATAAAGTTGTTGTATTAATGCAATGCAGGTTATATTTACCTGAGAGAGAGAGAGAGAATGGGGGGGGGGGGGGTATTTAGTATTTAATGGAGTTGTAGATAAAAGCTTAATAATAAAGTATTTTATTTCCAGCCAATGCCAAGTAAAGCTGTTCGTATTCATTTTCTAGTCGATCGACAAACACGGGACACCCACACTGGTTTGTGTTAGGCGTTGGAGAAGTTATTAAGGGCCTCGATTTAGGGCTGAACGGCATGTGTCCCGGGGAGAAGAGAAAAGTTACAATTCCTCCGTCTCTGGCATACGGCGAGAAAGGAAAAGGTAGGTCTTTTCTCTCTTGCAGTCCGCAGACAGACCCTTCGCTCGCTCCAAACACGCAAAGTAACAGTCCCTTACACAGGTGGCGCTGTTTTGCTTTTTTTTTGTTGCTTTGGTGTTGTTGTTGTTTTTAATTACATTGATTTGGACAATATTTTAGATAACAGCTCAGCAGAAAATTATCATTCTTACCCCCCCCCCCCCCTTTTTTTTTAGATATTTTATTAAAAGCCCAACTTATAGAAATGTGAATAATTTTTGTCATTGTACTGATAAATTATGTGCTAGATAATTAATATTATCTGAAAATGTACTTGTTTCACAGTGATCCCAAAACAGCTTAATGAAAAGGTAACAACTTTCATTTATAAATCATTAGCAAACATTATATAATGCTTAACAGATCATTAGTTAATATATATTCACATAGCTAGAAATATGAGATAATGTTCTTGTTAATGTTTACTAATGAACTTACTAAACATTACCTAATGATTAACATATGGTTATTTAATGTAAACTGAAATGCTTACAAATGTCAGTAAACTTTAAGTTCATTTGATCCTCATTTGTTGGTCTTTGTAGACCTCTATTTACACATCTTAATAAATAATCTATTAATTATTTGTTCACGTTTTTGCAGTACCCAATCTAAAGCGGAAACTATTCATCATTTGCAAATGTTTATAAAATGTTTACTAAACATTAATACCTTTCTGAGCTGTCATCTCAATGGCAAAAAGTGTCCCGAAAGACCTGAATTGACCCTATTCACACATCTTTACTAATCATTCATTAATCATTTGTTCATGTTTTTGCAGTACCCAATCTAAAGCGGAAACTATTCATCATTTGTAAATGTTTATAAATGATTACTAATCATTTAGTATCTTTATGGGCATTGGACTTTTAGCTACTGTAACAATGTTTGTGTAAAGGGTGGCTGGTTAAGTTTAGCTAAATGCTTGCTAAAGACATAACAGATTGTAATTTTGGTGCAAAAAATGTTTTTATTGCCTCAACACTCACTCACAGGAGAAAACAAGATTAAAGATTAAGATGAAAGATTCAAGATTAAAAGAAAATACTTTATTTCATTTATCAAAACAATATAATATAAACAGACTGAACCGTGTTCCCTTATAATAATCAAATTGACCCCTGTACACTGTTGACCTTTTAACCAACCCTTAAACCTACCCATACCACCAAACCTGGCCCTATCCTTACCCGTATCACACCTCAATTGCAGCTAAAGTGTCGTGGATTAACACAAGCTTTTATTTGTAGATTTTCAATAAGTGCTTGATCACATGGATCTGAAAGTTTAACGACATTTGTAAGCATTTTAACTTATAGGAAATAATGATTTGTTTGAACATTATCTAACGTTTAATACGTTTATTAACAAACATTAACAAGCACATTATCTCACGTTTCTACCTCTTTGAATATATATTAACTAATGATCCATTAAGCATTACACAATGTTTGTTAATGATTTATTGATGAAAGTTATTATAAAGTGTTACCAATACAGTTTTTAAGGTTTAAGATTTAAACCATTAACATATCACCTTTCTGTGGCGGATTAGGTCCTGTACCGCCAAATGCAACAGTGGTCTTTGAGGTGGAGCTTTTGTACATATCCAGAGGACCACGCAGCATAGAAGCCTTCAATGAAATTGACATTGACAACGACAAGGCCCTGACAAAAGAAGAGGTAATAGATATCAGTTAATGCATGTTAATTGTTGTATTAGGAATTTTCTTTTGCATACCTAATTTTTATGTATTCATTATTATTGTTTTTAAAATGTACATATTGTCATTTTTGGATTTACAGATTAAAGAATACTTGAGGATGGAAGCAAAGAAGTTAAATACACAGAAAGATGAATCCTATTTTGATGATGTTGTGGCAGATGTGTTCCATAAGAATGATCACAATGCTGATGGGACCTTATCACTAAAGGAGTACAATGTTTATGACCATGATGAACTATAAACACTACTAGATTATCTACAAGATATTCTTCAAACTGTAGAGTTGATGAACACCACTAAATTTTGAATAAAGTTGAAACTTTAAACTTGTACTGGTTGCATAATGCAAAAACCTAAACAGGGCATAAAAAGGTACTTTTTAAAAACTGTTCAGGCCTTTTCTCAAAATGCTTGCATCTGCTCAAATTTATCATCTTATAATGTTCTTCTAAGAAAAAAATGTTCTTTTAAGAACTGTTTACAGATAGGTTCTTTGGGGAACTAAAAATGGTTCTTCTATGGCATTGCTGCGAAAATCCTCTTTATTTTTAGTGTAAACAGCCTTGTTTTTTGAACACAGCTCACAATGTTAAACTATTCACAGATTTACAATTACCAATAGACCAATATAACCCATATCAGTCAACCACTATTTACAACCAAACAATTCAGACATATGAACTCAAGGATTGCATTTACAGCTCTGTTTAAATCATTATCATTTTAAATGTTGTCTTAACATTGTGTAATGTTGACAATGTTGTCAAAAATGACTTGATGATAATAATAATAAAGAAGTTTCCATGACACATTGTTCACATGATTCCATAAGGGGGGAAAAAAGGCACATTTCATTGACCAACCTTAAAGGGGTCCTATTATACTCTTGTACAAAGTCTTGATTTTGTTTTGGGGGTGTACTAGAACAGGCTCTCATACTAGGTTGTTCGAAAAACACATTATTTTTCACACATTTTACATTGTTACAACACCTCTCTCCCCGGTCTGGCATGAACGGCTCGAATAGTTCCTGTATCAAATGAAGGCCCGCCTTCTGAAATACGAAATGTGCTGTGATTGGTTAGCTGGGCCAGTGTGTGTTATGATTGGCAGCACTCGGCGCCTGGTCGGGAAATGTCACGCCCCTTACCATAGCCACCTGCTGCTTCAGTGTAAATATTGCGTCAAAATCGAATCAATCTGAGCGCGATTTAAACCCGGATGATTGTAAGCACTAAGTTCGTCTGCCTTGGGAAAGCTAGCGTGTCTCCGACATAGTGATAACACTCGCTGCCTTCTCTAGTGCAGCTCAACCAGGTCTCGTCCCATTCGTCGATATTTGTGATATCACAAATCCCAGAAAATATGCGTTGTAGTCCAAACGAGGCGTTCGTTGTAGTTTTTGAAAAGTGATTTCTGTTGAATAAAATATCTCCTTTTGAAGTGGACTTTGAGCTTTGTAGCTTTGCAGATCTTTTTTTATGCTCAAACAGCAACATTACAGACTAACTATAGGTAAACAAATGAAAAAGCATAATAGGACCCCTTTAAAATGGCAAATTAGCCATTCAAATCTTGCTACACCCATTAAGAACACCAGGTGGCTCTCTAATACAATTGTTTAAAGTGGTTGAACGCACTTTCCTTGAACCTGCTTTAAAAAATTATATTGTTTTATTATTATATAATTATTGTTTAATGGATATATATATGTGTGTGTGTGTGTGTGTGTGTGTGTGTGTGTGTGTGTGTGCGTGGCCTGATTTTTCGATTGGTGAATTGGTGGGAGAGATAAGGAAGAACAATGCATTTTAACCATTACACATGCATTTCCCAAACAGCTAGAAGTCAAAGAAATTATTAAATGAGGCCCAATCATGCAGAGAGCTGACATTCATGAGCAAGGACTCAAAACTTGGTTTTCATGTAAAACTCTCGACTGCCTCAACTCCCCCGCAGGCCACAAGTGACGTAAACCATGTCCGTGCCAAGATTCAGAGCAGATCCAGACAGAGGGAGAGGGGTTAGAAAAAGACGTTGAAATGACTGTTTTGCTTTCAGTGTAAATTGTACTATTTCAGGCAAGTCATAGCTTGCCATAATATTGGAACATTGCATAAATTACAGAATATTATAGAATATCATGGAATTGCAATTACCTAATCCAAAAGGTTAGGGTTCTAAAACTAAAACCGTTATAAACTGTTAAAAACTGCTCCCCTTTGCTCCCCTATGCAACAACCACAAAAATAAATAAGTAAATAAATGAAAAACAGATTGGTCAAGGGTGAACAGAATGTTAGAAAAATCCAAAGAGCAATTGACAGACACACATAATGTTATTGTGCAGAAGTGTGATTGCAAATGGAAACTGTTAAAAACTGCTCCCCTTTATGGGGAAATAAAAAACAGGAGAAGGCGAGCTTCCTGTGGGCATGTCAGACTGCAGTTGTGTTATTGCTGTAAATTATTCCCCATTTTTTATCTTTATATATTTATTTATTTTTAATTATCAGTCTATGCAACAACCACAAAAATAAATAAGTAAATAAATGAAAAACAGATTGGTCAAGGGTGAACAGAATGTTAGAAAAATCCAAAGAGCAATTGACAGACACACATAATGTTATTGTGCAGAAGTGTGATTGCAAATGACACAAATGCTGAAACAACAGACACAGAACATAGTGTTGTAGTTAGGATTAAGAAGGCAAAGCATACAGAATAGCCAGAGGAACAGCGACACTTAAATCCAACAACAGCACAAACAACATCTGTATAAAGTCAAGTCAAATTCCAATCCCAAGAGTTCATGCACTGCAGCACTCTTGAACAGCAAATGGCAATTCCACAACACTAAAGAGAATATGTTTAATCCATTCAGTCTATTCAGAATGGATAGTACACCATAAATCCATTTCCAACTTTTTCTATTAACTGGTTTTACTATTTCCATCTGTCCTCTATGTTTGTTGTGTTTATTCTGGTCTTAAAGCATTGACACTTAAATCCAACAACAGCACAAACAACATCTGCATAAAGTCAAGTCAAATTCCAATCCCAAGAGTTCATGCACTGCAGCACTCTTGAACAGCAAATGGCAATTCCACAACACTAAAGAGAATATGTTTAATCCATTCAGTCTATTCAGAATGGATAGTACACCATAAATCCATTTCCAACTTTTCTATTAACTGGTTTTACTATTTCCATCTGTCCTCTATGTTTGTTGTGTTTATTCTGGTCTTAAAGCATTTCTCTCCTTTTTTTTGGCACGTTCAGTTTGGATCACCAGAGTTGTTCTACAACAATATTATAGCATGGGTTAAAGATTTGTCTGCATCTTGTTGTTTCAAAAAACAACAGCAGCATGTAGGTGTTTGATAGTTTACACGTGTTTTATTTTTACACATGTAAGCCGCATATCAAGTTGGCACATTCAGACTTGACAGGTCTGCACTTTATGAGGATGGCAACAGAAAGAACCCCTGAATAAACACCTAACCAGACGTGTTTACATGGGAGGATGGCCTAGAGAGATGTAAGACGAACTGAATAAATACAACATTTTGTTCTGCAGTGATACAAATGTAAAAACTTTCATTATCCTTGTTTGTTATGGGTAAATATAACTGGAGAGTGAAAATATTTTTTTTCATTATTAATGTTGGAAATATTTTTTACAAGCCCTGCAAAGAAATCCTGTATGTATAAAAAGCTTCAAGTTCCTTCACAAAGAAGAGAAATTACATTTTGTGAACACTGAACAAGTATTTGACATGCAAGGGAGTTTTTGAATAGATTTGGTTACTTTAGTGAAAATGAACCTGTGCCAAGCACAGGCAGTTTTGAGAGAAACTAAAAACATGTGTCTCTTCTCATTTTTGCAATGGTTTCACTAACCAATGGTGCTTTTTAATGGAGGATGAGGAGGAGGAGAAGGAAAGCAATACATGATCCCAGGATTAGAAATGTCGGCTTAGATCCATAAACACAAACACTGAAACGTGTAATTTCTTGATATGCCAAGTAACAAGTTTTCTCTCATGAATGCTAAGTAATTGAGGGAGTATGTAAGGAAAAAAGAAGCAATGCAAATGTATGTTATTTTATATGCAATAGTTTATATATTCTTTTATAAAAAAAAAAATTTGAGCCATTCTTTCCATAATGTGAACCTGAAATCTGAATCTCACCAGTCAAGGCCAATTCCTTTTTCACCATTTACTCAAGTATCATCATTTATTTTTACAAATATTAGAGCCCAGGAATTTCTCGAAAATAAATAAATAAATAAATATATATATACTGTATATATATATATGAAAAGATACATTTCTAAAACGTTTTGTCTCATGTATGACATATGACATTTATACACATAAAACAAGAATTACAGCATACACATCATAAATGCTCACATCATAACTAAGCTGAATTATTCCATCGTAAGATTATTTTATCATTTGAAATTCCTTGTTCTATTAAAAGATTACATACAATTATATTAGTAAATAAAGTAAAATAATTAAATATCCCCAAGACAACAGACCGCTTTTAAATAAAGCATTGGACTGGCGACCTTTTTGGTTAATCCACATGGAAATGCCATACAATGCAAACTCAGGTTCAGAAAATGTGGTTTATGCTCTGAGACTGACCTGTTTGTCATAACTCTTGTGAGTATTTAAGTGTGTGACATTATTTTGTCTACCTTGAAAAGTGTGCATACTTTCAAAACCACCTTTGTGCACCTCACTTATTGACTGAGATAAAAGCTGTAGGAAGGCAAAAGAGAGGGGGAAAATGAGAATAAGAATATTGTTCCATAGTATTCCATCCCCCAGAGAGTATTTCTATACTAAAACCATTTCGAAGCATCACCCCTGACCTCAGCCCTCCTGTTTTTACGAAGCTCTGGAAAATCATGCTCTCCATGGCGGTCCCCTTTTGGAGCCTCCTAGCCAAACTGTCTGGAAAGTAAACAAATGTCTCAGCCCCACATTCAAGTAGACGACCACCATCCTCCCCCCAAGATATCCCAGCAGTGAGTCATACAGTATATCCAGCCGTCTTGCATTTGCTAACATTTTCCAGTAGGTGCAAATCATTTCCCCTGACTAAGAAAAAACAATTTCATTTGTGGTTCCTGAGTTAGAAGCACAAACCTCAAAAGAGTCCTCCCCCTATTTTCCTTTCTACTAGCACTGCATGGGTCTACAACAAAAAGTAGGGGTACCTTATGTTTCAGTGAATTTATTCTAAAGATTTCTCACTTTCAAGTGATTCATTTTTTAATTGTCATTGACTTAATCCAAACCAGGTTCATTAACAACAGCATATAGCTCCTAACGGACTTTAGCTTATCTTTAACATTATAGACAACTTTTGTTTGGTAGTCTTCACTAAAACATGGCTGAAGGGCGAAAGCAAATGGAGCAGGAAGGTCAAGACTGATACAACTTTGGGTTAGTCAGGCATATCATGCTTAAATAAAGATATTATTTGACTTTATTCTATCTGAGGCTGTAGGCCTGTGTGTAATATATGTCCTCTCACATTTATGAACATGAAAACATTATGTGGAAGATTCAAGACTCATCTGACAGTCCTTAAAGGGGTCATATAACGCTACATGCACTTTTACAAGTTGTTTGAACTGAAATGTGTGTTGGCAGTGTTTGTACACAACCACCCT